GGTGTTCTTTTTTGATCTTTTGGTTCCCATGGATTAAAACCAGCAAACACTGCTGCCATGGTTTGCATTGCACCACAGTACCACTTTGGATATAGTTGTCCTTTGGAACTCAGTTACCCTTAATAAAGGCTCCAAACTGATGTTTCTGGAGGAAGCAAAGCCAATGCACAGGCCAAGGAAAGGGTGCACTAAGAAATGCACCATGGCCTCGCATGGGTCTCTGTCAGGGCAGCAGTGTGGTGTGCAGATCTTTAAGTCAGCTTGGGCCTTGAAACGTAAAACTTTTCAGTACTACAGCAGTAGGTGTAACTGCTGCAGTGCTCACAGGGCTAGTAAAACCAAAAAAGAAATAAAGTTTTATTATAACGTAAACCTGTGAAAGCATATGTGTTGCCTCTGTCTGAAGGTGGGTCTATTGCTTAGACGCTTCTCTAGGTTGAGTGATCCAGAGAAGCAGTGGCTGCCCCATCCCTGACTGTTCAAGACCAGGTTGGACAGGCCTTTGAGTAACCTGGTCTAGTGGAAGGTGTCCCTGCCCATGGCAGAGGGTTGGAACTAGACGAGCTTTAAGGTCCCTTCCAACCTAAACTAGTCTGTGATTCCATAATCAAGTTTTTAAGTGGTTTAATCCCTTTTCTGTCCCTAGTATGTCACTGTGGGCAGCAGACAGCTGTCACACGGGGATGCTGATATTACCAAGTTCATCAGGTTTAATCAATCATCAAGTTCAGTTCCCAGCACAGTGGCCTGTGTGCTATAGCAATAGAAGTGGTGCCTTGGGCGAGACCAGTACAGGCTGCCCCCCTTGATGGCATTTACCAGTAGAGGAACCATTTTTCCAGGCTCCTGCCCTGGACCCAGGAGAGCCAATTCTGGGTGGGAGGCTGCATGGCATCTCCTCCGGTAGATCTGGCATTGTGGATCTGCTGAAGGTGGACCTGGCATCTGCTCTGAGAAAAGTCTGTGTGTGTCCTGCACTGCTGGGAAGCCATATATTAACATGCTCATGCAAGTGAAAACACAGCCCTGATCATGTTGCCAAGATCACTATATCCTAGGGTAATGTGCTGTGTGACAGCCTCAGAAATTAAAGTTGCTTCTGGGTTCCTTAGATTCATGCATCTAAATTGCACCAACTTTTCTTCAGAAGGAGAAAGAGAAAATATGTATTTGGGCATTACAAATTAACTGCTTTCTTGGGCTGGAACGTTTCCTGGTTGTCCATGTCTTGGCTCTGCATCCTGTCCCAGCCATGCTCTGCATGCACACACAGCAGCACTCCCTTCTGGCGAGGGAAAATCACTACTATGATGTTTGTGGAGATCTGGTGGAAGTGTCACTCAGCATCCTAAGGCATTGTCATCTGCCAAGGAAGAGCTGAGAAATGTTTTCAGCCCCTTTCTGTAAGCCTGTTCATATTACTAATGAATAATGGATGCTTTTTATTATGACCTAAATCCAATGTTGCTTTCTTTAAGCAGTAAGAGAGAGTATCAATATCACCACAGTCCAGTATTTTACTATATAATGTACTAAACTGTTCTGCAGAGTGCTTGTTTGATTAATTTTTGTTTTCTGCAGATGCTTGCTGAGAGTGAGACTTTAATCACATTTAACAATAAGTCATTTAACAATAACTTACAGAATTATAGGTGAATAATATTCATTCAATGTTAACTCAGAAGACTAAATCCATCATTTAGATCTGGTCTTCCTGAATGCTTTTATCACTAAAATTTGCTAAATATTAATCTGATTCCCTCCCCCCCCCCCCCCCCATTGCAGGTGCTTGAAAGATTATTTCAGAAGGGATTTAATGTGGCAGCTTCATGCGGTGGTGGGGTGGATTCCTCTCAGTTCAGTGAATACGTGCTGTGTCGTGAGGACAGACGACCACAACCAACCCCAACAATCAGAATAAAACAGGAGCCCCTGGACTAGACCTTACCCCTACTTCTTTGTAACCATAGATGTGTTTAATAGTCCCTTATGTGAAACACTAAGGATTTGCAAAACAGTATTAGCAAACAGATTTTGACTTTAAGTTGCCAATTAGTGGTATTCTGAAACCACCTGTCACATAGCCAGCCATGACATGCATTTGAAAAATCAGTTGTCCATTTTTCATGATGGAATTCCTGAGCATACTCAGCATACCAGGCCTGCTGGGAGCGTACTTTGAGCTGAACAGCTGTGGCGGTGGAAAAGACAAAGCTTCATCAACCCCTGACCATAGGTTGGACTTCTGAAAGAGCAGTTAAAGCAATTTGAATAGATCAGCAGAAGAAGCAGTTCTGACAGCCTTTCCAGACGTACTCCGATGCTGTGATGCATGGAAGCAGGAGCCTCTGAGAGGAAGATGGTTCCCTAAAAAATGCACTGAGTATCTTCTCTGTCTGCTGCACTTCCTTCATATCAAATGTGGTTTACACCTCCATACATGATGTGACACTTCCGTGATTGTACTTGCTTGTACTAGCAAATGGCTTATTTTTATACTATATTTCCAATGGAAACATCTCCCTGTGGACAGACTCCAGAATCTGAAAAGGACCAATTTATAGTCAACTGGTGCTCTGTACTAAAAAAACCCACACAAAACAACAATGTGACAACAAAATTGACAAGGCCAGTTATGGCAGTGTTTGCAAAAGTAGGGATCTGGAATCACAAAATAAAATGCCAGCTGCCATCCCATGAGGGTCACATACCCAACATGGAGCTGTAGTTCTCTTAAAGCCAATCTTGTTTTGACTCAGAAACTGTTAAGCAGCATGGTTCTGCCAAGCAAGCTCTGACACCCCTTGTTAATCATTTACTAACCATGTTGTAAGCCCACATTTAGGAGGAAACATTAAGAATTTTGGACAAGCCTACTCTTTATGAGTCTGAAATTTTGCAAAACGATGTTAAAACCCTCTATACTGCCAGTGTCTGATGAAAGTTGGACATGCTTGTTTAGATTGGTTTCCCTCTATTATTTTAAACTATTATTAAAATACAGTTTGGTAGCTGCCCTCTACCTGTAATTTTGTCTATTGAAGCAGGGTGTCTGCAGGAGGTGACTGACTGCTCCTTCCATGCATCGGTATCGACTCTAACTCACAGTGCTTCCTAACTCAGGAGACGGCACTGGGTTTTCAGGTGTAAGGTTATAAATAGCATTCTGCTAAATCCTGTTGATTGCTGCTTGGCGTGATTGGGTTGTCAGTAGCTAATTCTTGTGTTAATCACAGTTTAGTTTCTCCCACATTAATTTATAGAATATTGTTGTAGATGCTGAATTTTAATGAAATTCTTTTTATATGCATAAATATGGCATAAACAAGGGACAGAGTATGAAGTGGTCAACAATTCCCTAATGCCAATTGATTACAATGAGGCAAAGTTAAAAAATCATGTTTTTAACTAATATTTTCAAAAGCAATGAGCTGTACTGACTGCCCAAGGGACAATCTAGGTAGGGGTCTAATTTTTTTAAGAGGGCTGGATACCTGTCCATGGAAAATCAGACCTCTGCAGGTTTCCTCACCTTGGTTACCCAACTCAGCAATCTCGTAGCTGGTCAGTGTTGGCCTGCTAACTTAGTAGAACAGTTGAGCACATCTGTCTACTTCAAAAGAGTTGTAAAGTTATTTTATTTTGTGGTTTTATACTTGTATGACATTCTAAAGTTGCTAGGCATTGCCATATTTGAATGTATGGCACACCATTCACCTTTGTAAGATATCTGTATATTATACATTTAATATTGTAAAGAACTTAACATATAATTGTCATGTATTTGTGTATGCACATTTCTTATACTTCATGCCATAAACATTTCTGTAAAGTAAATGATCAAAAATAAGCAAGTAGGGTGGAACACTCACTGTATCTCCCATGTTGCTTGATAGACACGAGAGTTTTCGATTGCATCTCCTCTGGCTTTTTGCTCCATTCAGCTCGATGTAGCCATGTCTTACAAAGAGGAAAAAAAAGTGTTTTATTTATTACTTTCATACACTGAGTTCACTTTTCGTTCAAAGTATCCTTAAGTAAGCCATTTAGCTTCTTGTTTTAATCCTACATACGCTTATGTCCTGCCCTCCTGGACAGGAAGGTTTGTGGTTGGTTGTTTTTTCTTCAGATTACCGTTTTTTACTGTATGTTCTTTTAGAGTTCAATAAAGCAGCTCCAGTGCTTCGGGCAGCTTGTTAAGGTGGCATTGGAAAGGGTTCCAGGCTGTGCCAGCCAAGTTAAATGTGAACTTCAGATGGAAAGTGTGAGCCGTGGCATCACAGCGTTGACTGCAAAATAGCACTAAGGCAAGGAAGATGTAGAAACAATCACTTGGTTAGAAGAAATATGCCTTTAAAAAAAAGTTAAGCTAAGACATGTTTTTTTAGTTAGTAACTTCAGGTCACTTATTTAAAGTTTATTACAGTTTCATTTATATCTTTTTTACTTATTTCCCTATATGTTTAGGCAGCAATGGCAGCAAAAACTGATTTGAATTCTTACTTCTGGCCTTAAACCATAGCAGCATAACTTAATTAAGAACATTGCTCAGAATCACTAGGATGGATTTTAGAACACCCCAACAAGCCCAGTGAAGGCTAAAAAAAAAAAAAAGCCAAAAAGCACTGAACCTGTGGCTGGAAGAACTCAAGTCTTCACTGAGACTTCCCGTACATTTCCCACTGCTGTGCTCTTGAGCCTCAGAAGGAAAGAGAGAGGGAAAATGTTCTGTTGTGCTTCTTGGACTGATGGCTTTTGAGAAAGCAACTGCTGAGTGCATTTCATTCACTGTATTAACGGCATCAATGTTTGATGACAATTTTATTAGATGTTTGACAAAGGATAAGGATTAGCACAACAAAACATTGAAGTATTTGGGTTTATTTCTTTGTGGGCATTCTGTTAATATTTTAATACTAAATGTTTCTGAACAATATTCAAGAATGACAAGACTATGAAATTCCTGTTTGATAAATTAATACTGTATGTCACTCAATGTGTTACTTTAGTAAATTTTTATTTATTTACAAAATAAATACAAATAAGAGTATGTTTTCACACAAATTAGGGGTATTTACGAGTATGTACATAAATCATCAGAATAATGTAATTCTAATAAACACAAGGCCTTTATAAACAGTATGTACAAATTACCAATACATTTAAAACATAATTTTACACTTCATGGCCTTAATACCTTATGAATAATCTTTTGGCTAAGCAGCAGCAGTATAAATTTTCTTCTGCTTTCCATAAACCTTAAAAAAAGATAAAACTTTTGTTTTTAAAACTATTGGACAAATAGTTTTATTTGTGCTTTTGCTATGGTTTCCCTATCAAAAAAAAAAACAAAAAAAACCTCAAAAAATTGGCAAGATAAAAAAGCAAATTTCTCCCTTCCATGGTTTCTGCTAATACTGTTATGTTTGAAGTACAACTTGTGCCCGTGTGCCTGCTCAATACTCTTAGCCAATACCCATTTAAAAGGCTCACATTAATGTCACTTGGCTTTGGTGTGGGCCTCTTAAATCCCAATTCAGCAAAGCATTTAAAAAGCATTCATCCCACCTTTAAGTACTTACATCTACTCATTATGCTTCAAGTCATGCGCTTGTTCATAAGCCTCTCTTGACTGTAGTCCTCAGGTCCAATTGTCCAAGGCCAGGGCATGGCCAGGCCCTTGGCACTGCGGCACTGGAGCTTGCCTGATCCTCCACTAGTGGAACTGGGCCCCAAAACTTCCTTTACAGTGACTTTAAAGTCCATACAGAATACTCTATAATCTTCACTGAATGATATTCTCTTTTAAAACCACCATTAAATCATACACTTTGCAATAAATAATTTTTTTTTTTGTAGAAAATAAAACCCAACTTTGATTCGTGTTACTAACCAATTGCTACAAATGCACAAAAGGTTGAGAAGATTTTAGAAAACAACTGGAAGCTAGTCAAGGTAACTCAGCTAAGACCCACACACACAGATTTCATACACTTAGGATTTGGTTCAGCAAATGGCTCAGAAGAAATGAGCTGTGCAGTAAAAGCAGAAATCTTAACTAGATAAAATTTGTGAGAGTGTACAGTGGCTATTCTCTTAGCTGTGCAAAATTTGCAATTATAACTAATCTAAAATAACAATAGGTATCACTATGGTTAGCAGAAACAGTGCTACTGAAACTAAAAAGTAAACAAACCTAGTACCATCCATGAACATACAGGTTAACACCACGGTTAGGTCCTAATCCTGTGAACCTGTCCCAGTGCTCCTTACGCAAATAGTTGTGGTGAGTCATCATAGCAGCCTTGTCAGTCAACGTCATCCACTGTAGCTGAAGTGGCCAAATGGAGCAAGACTTTGATGTTGGTTGTGTCTCTGTATTTAACATTTTAAAACCTTTTGCACACCTTTTTGTGTGTGTTTTATATATTTTTTTTTTAACATAAAGGGAATTATTGCATGTGTCTGGCAATTTTACAAAACAAAATTACTGGAACATTGACTTCTGAAAAAAATAGAAGGCACATTAAAATGACAGCTTTTCAATGCAAGTTGAGCTTCTGTATGGAGAATTCAGTACAATTCTTGGCTTTATTTAAGCAGAGCTCGATAGAGCAGGAGAGAATGGCTCGTTTCTCTTTCCTGTTCCATGTAGAAGATGAAGTCCCTGAGGTTTACGCGAGTTATTTTCTGTCGTGCATACTGCCAGGATGAAGGAGTGCCCAAGCCAGCCTGACCTCCACCAGACATACCAAGACCCTGCAAAGAGAACACAGCAAAGTCAAAAGCCCTGAAATGGCAGAGAGTTTCCTTGTACTCTCAGGTTTACAACTACTGATTGCTGGATCATTTGAAACATCTTAAATGTATTATTATGAGTTTAATTCTGAAAGTATTACATGAGATTTTCTTTTTTTTTTTTTCTATTCTTCTGAGTCTTACCAAGGTATCCTGAGTAAAGAAACTCAATTGAAAACACATGAGGCTAGACCTCAGTTCATTTACAACTGGGGACAAGTATGTCTGACTAATTTTCCTGCTATACTCATGTTAACCATAGACTTATCTGACCAGTTTAATTTCAGGAACCTATTTAGGACAAAACTATTTGCAGCAAATAAAGCCATCTTCAGTACATCAAATGTGTGCAGCATCCTACTCCAAATCCTGAGTCTAGGACTGGAAAAAGGTGAGTGGTGTATCAGGATGCTGCTACTGCAATAACCTCTGCAGCTGTGAGACCCATGGGAGCCCTGATTCTCTCCTCTGAATCTACTGAAGAGAAAGGCTCATTGTGGGGAAAGAGTGAGCAACCTTGCCCCAGTACACAACCAATGCTCAGCTGAGAGGCGGAAAAATTAAACAGAAAAATCACAAGGATATTGTGTGATGATAAAGTCAAATATCAACATACTATTTTCTAAGGATATGCTAAATAATTTTTATTTTTGTTGTTTAAATTGGTTCAAGGGTACTGAATTACAGCATACCTTATCCTGGCTTTCTATATATAGAGAGAAAATACACAAACTGGGCCTGAGAGCACTGTGCTCTGACTATTTAGAAACTGAAAGGACAAAATTACAGACTTTGCAGTCCTGTTGAGTTTAAAACTGAAATGTGATACATACACACATTCAACCATTATCATCCTTAGGAGACCACTGGTTTTATTCATTTCAATTGATTTCTGGCAAAATAGATCATTTCAGAGATTAAAACCTATATTTCTAAGTTAAAAGTTTAAATTATTTTTCAAACCTTTTAAGACATCTGGAAAAGTTTTCAATACTTTTGAAATCCCAAATTTACATACTGCTGCTCTTAATAACCTACCTTTCCCCAGGAAATACTTATTCTAGGATCTTGATTCTAGCCATTAAAAATACAGTTCATTATAATTCTATTACTGAAAGATTGTAGGGAAACATGTATGGTTGTCCTGGGTTCAGCTGTAACAGTTATTTTTCTCCTTCTTAGCAGCTGGTACAGTGCTGTGTTTCGACTTTAGTCTGAGAACAATGCTGATAATGCACCAATGATTTTAGTTGTTGCTAAGTATTGCTTACTCTGATCAAGGACTTTTCAGTCTCTCATGCTCTGCTAGTGAGGAGGGTCTGAGAAGCTGGGAGGAAGCAGAGACAGGACACCTGACCCAAACTAGCCAAAGGGGTATTTCATACCACAGCACATCATGCCTAGTATATAGAATCATAGAATCATAGAATAGGGTTGGAAAGGACCTTAAGATCATCTAGTTCTAACCCCCCTTCCATGGGCAGGGACACCTCACACTAAACCATACCACCCAAGGCTTAGTCCAACCTGGACTTGAACACTGCCAGGCATGGAGCATTCACAACTTCCCTGGGCAACCCATTCCAGTGCCTCACCACCCTCACAGTAAAGAACTTCTTCCTTATATCTAAACTGAACTTCTCCTGTTTAAGTTTTAACCCATTACCCCTTGTCCTGTCACTACAGTCCCTAATGAAGAGTCCCTCCCAGCATCCCTATAGGCCCCCTTCAGATACTGGAAGGCTGCTGTGAGGTCTCCACGCAGCCTTCTCTTCTCCACACTGAACAGCCCAAATATAACCTGCAGGGAGTCACCCAGAAGGCCCAGATTGCTGCTCGGGTTGGGCTGGGTATCTGTCGGCAGGTGGTGAGCAATTGTATTGTGCATCACTTGTGTTTATTATTGTTTTTTTTCCCTTCCCTTTTTAGTTTTATATTCTCTCCCCTTGTTATTTCCCTTATCATTATTATTATTAGTGGTAGTAGTGGTGGTTTTGTATTGTACCTTAGTTATTGGACTGTTCTTATCTCAACCTGTGGGATTTACATTCTTTCGATTCTCCTTCCCATCCCTCTGGGAGCAGGGGGGAGAAGAAGGGGGGGAGTGAGCAAGTGTCTGCGTGGTTCTGATTTACTGGCTGGGCTTAAACCACAACAGTGGTACATTGCAAGTAAGACATGGCTCTGTTTGTTGCTTTTCTCCCAGCGTACCAAGTCAGAATCCTTGCAGAGCTGTGCCATTCAAGGTATTTCTCCTATACTTGATTATTAAATTACAGTAGTGGGGCAAATCCTATTCTCTTGTAACCAGAAATACAAAAGGCTTAATGTAGTGAAATGAATGTGGCTAAGCTTGCAAGCAAGAGAGGGTGAAGCCCACAACCTTTGAGCACCATGATCATTTGATCTGAGTCATTCTTTTCTCCAGTATGGAATAGCTTTTGTTAACAGATTAATTGATTTTGCTACCTAACCTCACTGCTCCCAGGAAAAGCATGTGCTGCAGCTGCAAGGGCTGTTCATCCATGCTGAAGCCGTATACATCCCTTACACACAATCCATTTATTTAGCAGTGCTCTGAATTCAGCCTTTATGCCAAAACACTGCATTCCTAAAAAAAAAAATAGCATCATTTAAACTCCTACTCTTCATCTTCCACAGGTCTGGAATAAGCCCTTACCTTAAGTTGCCTCTCACTTGCATTCTGATCATGCATTTGCTTTACCAGGGCTGTTGCCACTGTTTCCAACTCTCCAAGTAACCACCAAATAGATCTTTAAGTCAAGGTGACTCAAAAATAGTTTTCTTTCTTTTCTGTTCCCCACATGGTGTATCTCTCCCTCCTGCCCTAAGTAATACTTACTTCAGATTCATCCTGACTACAGTTCCTGAACAGTGACAAACACACTTGTAAGAAATGTGGCCACTTATTAAAAAATACTGTCCATAGCATACTGGACTGGAACCATCCTGCACACACTTACCAAATAGTAATAGAAAAGCTACTTAATTTATGTTTTCTTCACATAAACCCATTTCTTGAATTAATTGAGGTATATGTACAGCATATAACTGCTTTCTATTTGGACAGAGTAGCTGGAATTAAGATATGAGAGTGGTGAGACACTGGCACAGGTTGCCCAGAGAAGCTGTGGCTGCCCCATCCCTGGCAGTGTTCAAGGCCAGGTTGGACAGGGCTTGGAGCAACCTGGTCTAGTGGAAGGTTTCCCTGCCTGTGGCAGGGGGTTGGAACTGGATGAGCTTTAAGGTCCCTTCCAACCCAAACCATTCTAGGATTCAATATTCATTGCATTTATCACTTGAGATACTGAACTTTCACATAGGAAGAGCATATACTTCATGCAATATCATGACATGAAGTTGTGTACCTTCATAACCGCACTGGTAAGCCAGTCAGTTACCTGATAATGTTCTGTAATTGTTCTGCAAGGTGGATAAAAAAATTGCAAGATTTTAGGAAGTACAGAAGCACATCTAAATTAACAGAACAGGGATTTAGATCTGCCAATATGATTTCTAATTTAAAGACCAATTAGTTTGGTACTGCGTTGTACTCAAAATTATTCTGTAGATGCCATATAAGAAATGCAGAATACTAAATGCCATGATTTTTTAATTATATACGTGAAAGCAACCAGAGTTAAAATTAATTGCCAAGAATAGTGGAATTGAACACAGTCTCCCACAGCATCCTCACGGCTAAAATGAGGAAGTGTGGACTGGATGATCAGGTAGTGAGGTGGACTGCGAACTGGCTGAAGGAGAGAAGCCAGAGAGTTGTAGTCTATGGGGCTGAGTCTAGTTGGAGGCCTGTAACTAGTGGAGTGCCTCAAGGGTCAGTACTGGGACCGGTATTATTTAATATATTCATCAATGATTTAGATGAGGGAATTGAGTGTACTATCAGCAAGTTTGCTGATGACACTAAGCTGGGAGGAGTGGCTGACACGCCAGAAGGCTGTGCTGCCATCCAGCGAGACCTGGATAGGCTGGAGAGTTGGGCAGGGAGTAACTTGATGAAATATAACAAGGGAAAGTGTAGAGTCCTGCATCTGGGCAGGAACAACCCCAGGTTCCAGTATAGGTTGGGGAATGACCTGTTAGAGAGCAGTGTAGGGGAGAGGGACCTGGGGGTCCTAGTGGACGACAGGATGACCATGAGCCAACACTGTGCCCTTGTGGCTAAGAAGGCCAATGGCATCCTGGGGTGTATTAGAAGGGGGGTGGTTAGTAGGTCGAGAGAGGTCCTCCTTCCCCTCTACTCTGCCCTGGTGAGACCGCATCTGGAGTATTGTGTCCAGTTCTGGGCCCCTCAGTTCAAGAAGGACAGGGAGCTGCTGGAGAGAGTCCAGCGCAGGGCAACTAAGATGATTAAGGGAGTGGAGCATCTCCCTTATGAGGAAAGACTGAGGGAGCTGGGTCTCTATAGTTTGGAGAAGAGGAGACTGAGGGGTGACCTTATCAGTGTCTATAAATATATAAAGGGGGAGTGTCACGAGGACGGAGCCAGGCTCTACTCAGTGGCAAACAATGATAGGACAAGGGGTAATGGGTACAAACTGGAACACAAGAGGTTCCACTTAAACTTGAGAAGAAACTTCTTCTCAGTGAGGGTGACGGAACACTGGAACAGGCTGCCCAGGGAGGTTGTGGAGTCTCCTTCCCTGGAGACATTCAAAACCCGCCTGGACGCATTCCTGTGTAACATTATCTAGGTGTTCCTGCTCCGGCAGGGGGATTGGACTAGATGATCTTTCGAGGTCCCTTCCAATCTCTAACATACTGTGATACTGTGATACTGTGAAGTAATGTGGATATTTCTCCAGAAAAATGACATCTTTTGTCAGCATGACAGACTTTTCATTAACCCCAACAAGCCCTTTTTTTCTGTATCAATGGCAACTAATAAGAGATACAAAGACAAAAGCTAGAATAAAAAA